AGTTGTTAAGGTTGAGAAACACTGGCTTATATCATAGTAAACTACCAGGAGAATGAAGAAAAGAGGTGGCATTTTACTGCTGGCTGGGGAATTCTGGGAGTTGAAGTCCACTCATCTTAAAGTGGCCAAGTTTGGACAACACTGCGATAGAGTGTTCAAGAGCCATGCTTTTTCAGTGGGAGCCAGTGGAGGCTGCTGAAAACAACCCCGTACCTCCTACCCAGGGCAGGCAGGCTCAGAAATTACATTTCGGGGTCTCCCAAAATTCTGGTTCCAAACCACATATCGGAAGGTCCATGCACGAAGGAGGCAGAAGTGCCTTATGTATTTAACATGCTGTTAACGTTATCGGTATTCCAACAGCCACTGTTGCTTCCCACTGTTGTAGGAGCTAGCTTTGCAAATGAGGCTGTTCCTAATCTGGCTACCAAACTGAAGCTGTTTTAAAAATGAATCTAAACCTGCCACACAAACTGGGTTTTGTCTCCTGGTTTTATGCGCCTATCTTTGGCCTTTCCAATACACACACACACACACACACCCCTCTTTCCTGCTTGCTACTATGGACTAAAGGTGGCTGTTTGAGGCGTGCCTCTCTCCAGGCCATTGATGGAACCGAACCTTGGGAAACATGGAATTGGTGATACCCAGAATCTTAAGCCTGGTATAAACTAGATTTATTTACCTCTACCTCCAGGAATAGAACCGCATCAAAACGTGCACCCAGAGCATCCATTCTCTTTTGGAAGCAAAACCGGTCCTGCCCCCTGCAAGCCCATCATTCTGAGGCTTCATGTGTTTTTAAGATGTGGGAAGCTGATTCCCACTTTATATGTTGCATTTGAAACTCCACGGTCAAAGGCACGGGCTGGCTGAGTAGCAAATCGGTTCCCTCAGGAGAGTCCTTCTTCCGCCCCTTTCCTGCCAAAAAAAAAAAAAACTTGGCTTCATGCATTGCACTAGACCAGGATCATGGTTTGCTGAACAAGCCACGACAGGTTCGGACATGGCACTTAGCCAGAAATAAGTCACCACGTTCGCAGCTGTGCAACTTTACCTCTTCCTTTCTGAACCTCTGAGCCCAATCCGTCTGTCTCGTGGCATGAACTTCCTCATGCACAAAACCACGTGGACCCATCCAAAAGCCTCCCCAGTGCGGCGTCCTCCAGCCGGTTCACGCAGGCTGAGGGTCTCCAAGTGAAAGTCCAAGACAAGTCAAGGGCACAGCTTGGAGAAAGTCAGCACCATCCTGGGACCTGGAGGGTTAAGGGGCCACGTGCACTGTGGTTTGCCAATCGTGTCTCTCTTTTTTTAAAGTTCCTAGTCCATATGATGACAGCAAAGCCCTGGTGTCGAGGCCTTGTACACCACCGTGGGCTCAAGAAGGAAGGATGGTTGCAAAAAAAAAAAAATCGACAACCGCTTTTGAATACACTTTTAATGTTGTAGTCTTGGGTGAGATTCTGTATCTGCAGTCCAAAGAACGTGGAGGGCTGTCAGTCAGATCGTTAAAATAGCACCCACTCTGGAAGCTGATCCTGCGCTTCCTAGCTTACCTTTGGCAGGCGATGGTGTTTTTCGAGAGTTCACGCTGTCGTTCCCAGATTTGGCTTTTGCGTCCTTTTTCGCACCCTTCTTATTTTCCTGAAAAGTAGAAGGGAAGTTTGTGCGTCTCACCGAATGGCAGAAACAGCTACTTTAAACACATTCCTTGTTTTGGTTTTTATTTAATATTGTTTTTGTTTTTATTTAATATTGTTTTTGTTTTTATTTAATACTATTTTTGTGTTCATTTCATATTGCTTTTATTTTTATTTCATATTGTTTTTGCTTTTATTTAATTGTTTTGTTTTTATTTAATACTATTTTTATTTCATATTGCTTTTATTTTTATTTCATATTGTTTTTGCTTTTATTTAATTGTTTTGTTTTTATTTAATACTATTTTTATTTCATATTGCTTTTATTTTTATTTCATATTGTTTTTGCTTTTATTTAATTGTTTTGTTTTTATTTAATACTATTTTTATTTCATATTGCTTTTATTTTTATTTCATATTGTTTTTGCTTTTATTTAATTGTTTTGTTTTTATTTAATACTATTTTTATTTCATATTGCTTTTATTTTTATTTCATATTGTTTTTGCTTTTATTTAATTGTTTTGTTTTTATTTAATACTATTTTTATTTCATATTGCTTTTATTTTTATTTCATATTGTTTTTGCTTTTATTTAATTGTTTTGTTTTTATTTAATACTATTTTTATTTCATATTGCTTTTATTTTTATTTCATATTGTTTTTGCTTTTATTTAATTTTTTTGTTTTTAATTTAATACTGTTTTTGTGTTTCTTTAATGTTGCTTTTGTTTTTGTTTAATACTGTTTTTGTTTTTGACTGAACATTGTTTTCGATTTCCGTTAATACTGTTTCTTGTTTTTATTTAATCATGCTTTTGTTTTTATGTAATGCTGTTCACCACCCAGAGCTGCTTGCTGAGATGGGCAACTACCCACACTGATTAAATAAATAAATAAATACATACATACATACATGCATACATTTCCGGCACTCGGCACAACAGGATTTTGGAAAGGCGACTTCGCCCCTTGGCAGGTACCTTTTCTCTGGGCGACGGCGGGGAGGCATTCAGCTCCGTTATCTGCACCCCAAAGTCACAGAGGGTCTCCACCGACGATGCTCCTGCTAACAGCTTTTCTAAGCTGACGTGAAGAGGGCCCAGGACCTTCACGATGGGGGGGTCGCTCTGGAGCTCTGGGGAAAACGGTTTCTTCTTCTTTTTGTTCCCATCCTGGCTGGACACAGAAGAGAATTTCATTTGGGGACAATGCCTGCCTAATGCACAGCAAGAGGGACGCCATCTCAGACATGCAATTTGGTTTCAGACCCCCTTACCAATATATCATCTGCATCAGAAAGATTTCCTTTACTGCTACTATTGTAGTTAAAGAGGTGGTGAAACAGGAGTCTTGAAGAAACCTTATTCCGCACCTAAAAAGCTGCAAGCCTTTACAACTGCCAATTCGTCCCACCCAGCCCCTTCCAAATGTGCTGGGACTACAACAACCAGGGTTCCCTCCCAAAATGCCCTTTGGCCTGGCTTGCGGGTTAAATTCCAGTGCCAGCCTAGAGTGGGAACGGCCAGAAGAGAAACTGAGAAGTCCCACTGAATTCCGCGGAGCTTACTTTTAAGCGGACAGGTAAAAGATTTAAATCCCCTTTCCAGTTTTCGTTTTCCAAAGTATCCGCCCTTACATTAGATAAATTTCTTCCAAATAAAGTAGAATTAAGAAATCAAAGAAGAATATCCAGAGAAAAATGCAGCATTGTTATTCTGACACCCATATTCCCTGTTTCCACTGGAAACTCAAGGTTAGTGCACAAGAAGCCCCCTTTATTTTATCTTCCCAAGAACAGCAACCCTGCAAAGTAGAACTGGCTGGGAAACAGTGGCTAGGCTTATGCAACGTGCTTCACGCGCTTTATTGAGCCAACTACAATTGGCCGGGCTGCCTTGAACAAAACCTAAACGCTGATTTACAATCCACAGCAGCTGGCTTCACACACTGATTAAGCCAGAATGAAACCAATCGCATCATGGCGGAATCTGCTGTGTGAACCAGGCCACAAACCGACTCCGGATCCCGTTGGCAGTCTCCTCCCAACACACCGAACCTGCTTATGGAACGGGTCCATTTTTCTGGCTTCAAACGATTGACTGAACCCAAACTTCATGAAACAAGCTGAGCTCCCCATTCACACTAGGCCAGGAAAAAAAATTAACCAAGGTTGACCATCCCCAAGTGTGCTACGTGTGCTACGGCTGCACAAATGCAGCCGCTGGTTCTTCAGCTCATCTGTGTTGGTGTGTTGTGCGAATACAGCCAGGGCGCAGGATGTGTCACCCAAGTCCAGATCTGATTAGGGGAGAATCAGCAGGAAGAGAGGATGGATATACGCAGCTCCAGGGGTGACAGATGTTAAAAAGGACGGGACTTTGACTCCATGGTTGTGGCACCATCTTGACTTTTTTGACACACATACACCCACCGTGAATGCTGGTGCAGGGATCTGTGTCCTCCTCGCTCCGTCCTCCAATATTGGAAGTGACATAAAAATGTTTTTTAAACGTTTCTAATAAAGTTGTCCTATATTTTTAAAAAGGAAGTGACAAAAACAACGCATGCTGTTCGGCTTCCCAAGGAAATTAATTCTCAGCTCCAGCCTTGCCTTTGCGGTGTCTTTGGCCTTCCCTTTCTCCTTCTTCCCTTTCTCTGCCTTCCCCGGATCGGCTTTTCCTTTCTCTCCTTTCCCCTTTCCTTTCCTGCCCGGGCTTTCCTCGGGAGTGAGGGCCACGGGCCAGGAGACAACCTGGGGACAAGAAGCGCGTTTCATTGCTACGGAAGGAGCCGAGAGTTCGCGTGAGTCAGGGAGAAGGACGGCTCCCCTTGTCCTTCGTCTGCTGCGCAGAATCCCAAATCCTCCTCATCCACCTTGCAGTTGTCCCTCCACCACCACCACCACCCCAATACGTTTCCTGCAGCATCAGCCAAAGGAAAAAGAAAGTAAGGCTTGCAATGAAAGGCAGAAATGTCCTCATTGCCGCCCAAGAGGCGTAAGGCAAAAAGTTCCTCAACATTTGGAAGACCAAGTTTGAAGGAACACCAAGGATGGGGCGATGCTAAACGGTGGGACAGACTTAGGGGAAGAGGTGGCTGATATGCTGAGAGGACAATGATTGGCGATCTCACACACACACACGTCCACAGAGATTCTTAAAACAAAAGCTTAGCAAAGCGATCCACCACCTTTTCCTCAACCACGGCCACGGTGGTTCCAGCCAGAAGATAAGCCTTGAGGGCCACCAGATCTTGGGTGAGGTGCTCTTTTCGGTACTCGCAGTCGATGGTCTCTGCCCAAGCCTTCCTGGCGGTAGAATGTGTATTTCCTAAGTGTGGGAGAAGGGAAGGACCTGCCGTTTAACACCAGCTAGCAACTTTCTGTTCAGACAACCGTTGTTCCTGCTTTCAGTTGGATGCACTTTTTGGTGAAAGAGAGTTCCTGAACCCACAAACCAGTAATTCTATCGTTATCGTCATCGTCATCGTCATCCTGCAAATTTTTCAGTTACCCAAAAGTCCTCATCCCACAGACTGAAAATCAGAAGTTATTCACTGCCAAGGACAGGAACTGCCTATCTATTTGGACTACCTACTTAGCTATTACACCGATCTGTTCAGGTGTAAAAAACCGAAAGGAAACTGGGGAAATGTGAGCTTGAGCTCCGTTCTTGGTGCGTGGTTTTTCCTCCAGGCTCCTTCCACAACTCTGGCCTGGCCATGCTGAGCTCGGTTGGCGCTAGCCTGGCGTAGTTCTCGTGGCCTGGCAGGCTGGAGGAACTGAGCCCATTCTGTGAATGTCAATGTATTGCGGGGCCCCAAAGAGGCTGCACGCCTCCGGGGCAGAGGGGCCGAGCCGTCTTTTCTACCTGCTGGGCCTAACCCTTCCAAGAGCGCTACCCACCTGTCTCGGGCTTGGGCGAAGGCTGACCAGGCGCAGGCTCGGGAGTCTCCCCATCCACCGTCACGAAGGGCGAGCTTGGAGCATTCACCGCAGCCAGCGGCTCACTGTCCTGGAGCAGAAACACACGGGCTCCCATGACGCCCCCAAATGCTGCATCCTCCTGGAAACTAGGCAGGGTGACAAGATGGCACCAAGGGGATCCTTGTATCCCACAATCTTACTTTTTTAGAGATATCGGGGCAAGGGGCTTCCAATACCCCCCAACCCCGCCCTTCAGATGGTCATGATTTTAAAAAGCAATTTAAAGAAACGTCCTAAGAACAGCCATTCCCATGCTGGCTCAGGATGATGGGCGTTGTAGCCCAACCTGTCTGGCAGGCAGCAAATGGGGGAAAGGCGCATCTCTCGGGCCTCCCCCCTGCTCAGATCCTGGGAATTGCAATTTATCCAGGGGGCTGCCAATTATCTGACAAAGCTCCCAAGATTGTACTCCCCATCATTCTCCAAAGAAAGGGGCAAAACCCTTAAACTGTCCGTTGAAGTCACCCATGAACAGTGTTTCTCAACCTTGGTAGTCTGAAGCTGTATGGACTTCAACTCCCAGAATTCCCCAGCCAGCCATGGGGAAAACTGCCAAGGTTGAGGAACATTGCCCATGAAGATGCCAGCAAAAAGATTTGACGCTAGTTTTAAGTATAAGGGCCTTTTAAAAAGCTTTTTTTAACAGTGACATGATTTGTTTTTAATTTAGACTGGGTTTTTTTTTTTAGTTTATTGTTCACTGCTTTTAATTAATTGCATCCCTGGTTTGGTCTGTTTTTAATCACGACGATGCCTACCAAAATAATTTACAAATGAATGAATAAATAACACTCCTACCTTGCTGGCTTCCTTATCCCCTTTTTTTTCACCCTTGGCAAATTCGTACGTCACATAGTAGCTGTAAGTTATCACTGGGGAGTCAGGACTGTTCTCCAGTTCCTCTGGGCCAACCGGGTTGGGAACACCTCTGATCTTGCCAATGGTGACGATCAGTTTGACATCGTGCAGTAAGAGCTCTGGAAAAGCAGGGGACAAAAAACCTGAAGATTTACAAGCCAGGATCCAGACAGGGGTCATAATCGGAGTCTAACCGTTTATCAATATGGGAAGCGTGACTTGAGTTATGGAGAGAAATGTTGATCTTCTGTTCGGCTGCCTAGAACAATCTCATGGGGTGGAAGAAACCAGTGAAAAGCAAAAGCCTTTTATGCCTTTTAATAACATCTGTTGGGCAGAAAAGGTGCTCCCAGACTCCTGATTTTTGGCCGCCATAAACTAACACAGCTCTCCTCCTACAGCACCATGAGATTCAAGAGATCAGTGAAACAGGATGCGAGAAATTTGCAATTGGCTTCTGCAGCGAAATGTGCAAAACTGGTTTTCAGCCAGGCCTGCCCATCTCTGCTTTACTCCATGCCATATGAGAAATCATCAAAGGGGGTGGGAGGGGAGGGGAGGGGAGGGGAGGAGGTCTTAGCAGAGAAAATACCAGCACTTGGCAGGACTTTCCAGCTTCTCTCCTTCAACAAACCTTGATGGGTAGGAAAGGAAGCCGGAAGACTTAACGAAAGGGGCCTGGAAGAACTCAGGTTGTCTCTGACCACTGATGCTCCAGCAAAGATGTCCCTGTTTCGATTTACACAAGGGAGGCCGGGAGCAAATGCTGTGCGGTGGAATTGAATCCCCCGTTCAGAAATGGAGGAAGACTCACCTGGGTAGCTAGTCAGGTTGAGGAAGTTGTGCCTTTCATCTGGGGTGATGATGACATCATCAAAGACAGAGATTTGGGGCAGGCTGTCGACAGTAAAACCCCGGTAACCTGGAAGGAGGGCAAAGGGGTTCCCCTGCAGAACCAGGATCCGGAGCTTGTTCAAGGTCAAAAGCTTCGAAAGGAGGCTTAGCAGGTTGGTGAAATTGTTGTAGCTGAAGTCGAGGGAGACGAGGTTTGGCCTAAGAGGGAGAAAAACTTTGCTTCGAGGGGGCATCTGCCGGTACAACAAAGCTCCCCATCTCTGAAAGACAGCAGTTTAGGCTAGGCTTAAAAACCTCCCAAGGCAGTTGGTCCTACTCTCAAACCATTTGAACGTTCGTCTCCTGGGGAGAAACAAGATGCCATTTTTCACCCTCCGCTTCTAGCCTTGTCATCTGGAGCAAGGCATGACCAGGCACGGCTTCTCTTCACCACTGGCTGTCGAAGGAAGATTTCACCCTGGTTGGAGACGCGATTCACCCCCCCATCTGCGTCTGCCTTGTCTCCTTGCTTCCTCCAGTCCCGGAACCATCCTCTGTTAACCCCCCTCCCCTGCTCCAAAAGATGCTCTCCTCCGTTCCACGCAGCCAGGAAAACCAGATTTTGGAAAACGCCACCTTCTTTAAACAGGGAGAATCGGTTGGCATTACAGGTCACCCCTGCCTGCATCAGACTCTGTGCTTACCAGAAAGTATCTGCCAAATATTGTTCCTCCGAGGACCCCAGCTGGCAATTGTGGCCAAGGCCTAGATGCTGCAGTCCGGCTGGGGGGGACGTGCACAGGTCCTTTAAACTTTGCACTTCGTTGCCACAGAGCTCCAGCACCTGATGGGTGGGTGGGAGGAAGGGGGGGAAATTAATAGGACATCCCAGATTCTTCCAAAAGCCAGGACGCCTGGGGTGGTCCTGATGCTGCTGAGAAATTGGTCTCAGCGGCTCTCGCCATGGGCTGTGTTTGCTGGCGAGTTGCACTTCAGCCACAAGGCAAATCCAGGAAGGAAGGAAGGAGCGCCAGCAATAAAAGCAGTTTTCTCTCTCTTCTTCAACCCACAGGAAAGCCGCCTTGCCATATGACAAATATGGTAATTTTAAGTGATGAGATAGCACACATATAAAAGGGGTAGCGCACATAAACTCCAAATTGTGCTTCAATCCTGCGGACTACGTTAATGCATTCTTATCATTTCCCAGGCGTAAGAGAAACCTGGTTTCTCAACTTCCTCGTCTACCCTGGATCCCCGGGAATACCCCGTTGTCTCCCATCCAGGAATTAATCAGGCCCAATCCTGTTTAACTTTAGAGCCCAGAAAAAAAAGTTGGGTATACTAGTTGGATAGGATCCTTTAACACCATGGTTTTTCTTTAATTTTTCCCCCTGGTGCAGGCTTGCACTGTGAGCGCAAAGAAGGTGTAGGATTTATCTGCCTGTGATCTATAGTGCTGACGTAGGTCTTACGTCTCTCCCCACTGAAAAATGCTGATGCTCCAGGTCCAATAATTCAAATGAAATAATTACACACGTTCTGGTTTTCCAAATGCCTCACTTCTTTAGAGGAGAAGGTAATTGTGCCAATATACATTTCTTCCCTCTAACAGCAAAGGTTTGGCACTGTGCTCTCTCCACTAAGAATCCTGCCCAGGGTGCCCTTCGGCATTCTTTCTAAAAACCGAGAATTTCTGCTTTATTTACCTTCAGGCCTGGAGGGAGGTTGGCAGCAGGGATGGTGCTGATCTGATTTGCAGTTAAGATGAGCTCTTCCAGGTTGGGAAATTTTAACAAGCCAACATCAATTTCAGTCACCTGGAAAGGGAGTCAACAGAATGCGCCTCTGGACACCCAGAGGACATCTAGCCCACCTGCATTCCCACGCTCAGCCCTCTCGACCAAACGCCCAATTCAAACTACGTGAGGCCGGCAAAAGCGGGGAGAGGAAAAGCAGTGTGCAGCAGACGCTTCTGCATGGCAAGGAAGCAAGTCTAAACTAAATTTAACCAGAATCTCACATGGGCAACACGGTTAGGAGGGTGCACACCCAAAGAAGAAGGCCCCCAAACCATAAATCCAGGGTTTGAACCCAGCGGATGCAAAGAACCCACATCTCAGGTTCAGCTGACCTTAGACTGCTGGCACGTTGGACCCATTTACCAGAGGGACAACATTAATCCTTAGAGCCCAAAGACCTTGGGGATCGGTACGTAGCCCCACTCACCCCTTTGTTCACGATCCGGAGGGACCTGAAGTAGGAGCAGAGGAAGCTGTTCCGGACGATGCCCGGGGACTGGACGGCCAGTTCCCGCAACTGCTGCTCGGGGGGGCTGCAGTCGGGGGGCAGGGCCCACGGGGAGTCGGGGCACCGCAGGAATTCCGTGAGCACTTCCACCGTTTCTTCGTTGGGCGACTGGACACCATTGCGCCAGGGGAGAACGGCCTGGCGGGGGGCGGGCAGGCCATGGAGGTGGGGGGGCCTCCGGGGGGGGAACCGGGATTTATTCTGTGTGGGACAGAAGGTGGGGAAGTCGTGTAAGAGCAGAGCTTGGAGGACGCCCAGAAGACCTGCAGCCTGCGGGCATCTCCACCCTGGCACTAAGCCATAAGGGGCCTCCTCATCGGAGTGGGCCTGGCCAACTGTGGTTTGAGCAATAAGCCACGGTTAGCCAGACCTTGGATTGGCCTGAAGCGCAAGCGCACAGCATCGGGGGCTTGGCCGTGGTTGCTGGGAGGTGTCCCCACCAATGCTCCTTGGGGCCCCAGCCCCTTGAGGAGGCTGCCCAGCTGTCTTCCTGGGCGATGCCCACGAGGCGTCAACCCTTACCCAGCTCCCCACCCCGCAAGGAAACTGGTCCAGGCACAGCTTGCGGAGGTGATCCCAGAAGGCAGCCGAGGCGCTCAGCCCCTCCATGGCGCGGCAGCGGCGGCTGTGCGGGCAGCAGCCCTAGCCAGGCAGCGTCTGCCGTCGCTAGGATACGGGATGCGGTTGCTAGGGGCGCCGAGGGACGCCGGGGAGGGGAGGGAGGAGATGCTGCTGGCTCTCCAAGGGGGCGGAGGGGGGGTCTCTCTGGGTCCAACAAGCCTTTCCATGTTAGCCTGCAAGTCATTAATCCGGGGTTTAAATACCCACAATCGGTGCCAACTTTCCCCAACTGGAGTCCTTCCAGAGACGTTGGGCTACAGGTCCCATCATCCCAGCAATGAGCTGGCGGGCAGGGTTGCTAGAGATGAACACAAACAGTTGCAGTTCTTCTCAGCGTACTTTAAACTGATGGATTTTATGCTAATATTTCATTTTAATCAAATTGTTTTTTCTTGCGCTCTTTACTTTGCAAGTCCCTCTGGAAATGTCTTGACTGGTTGGCGAAATCACATTCATGTAACCAAATGTCTTCATCAAGAATCTGTTCTCCCCCCGCCTCTAGAGTCTATGTGGACAAAAAAGTATCTGGAAAATTAAAATTCTGGAGCTTGGAGGCAGAGGAAATAAGTTAAGATAAACCATGGTTTATCTTACGAAAACATCCAGCAGAAAAAGGAAAGAAGGGGATGCAACCCAATTAAGCAATGAAGACGTAGTCTTGGAGGAGTCAAACCATCATTTGCGATCCAAGCACAATGAAATACCTGTAGATGGCAATCAGAACCAGAAACACTGTGATCAACATCTATTTTAAAAATGAGCCCATGTAATAACGGAGTAATAAAGTATGCGAAATGCAGCCTTGCTCATCCTAGGCCATGATTTTGGCTCTCTCAAAGATTTTTGCCCTTGGACTTGCCTCAGAAAGAATTTGCTCAAAATTCCCTGCTTCCGTTCCAGGCAGAAATGCGTAACCAAATTCCCCCTCCTTCAATGGCTCATGGACAAGATTAACATCGATCAGTGCTCATTCAGGATCCATCTTAACCGCCTTATCACTTCCTTTTCCTATTTCTGCAGACTAAAAAAAAAAAACCCAGAGTAAAGGAAAAATGCATATCCACAGATAACAGTTCTAAGGTTGACAGAAGTGACTAACTTTTCCAAAGTTCAAAACTGGACCAAGTGAAGGTGATTCAAAGAAATTGTTTCCATGAGATATAATTACTTGTGCTTTTCAATAAATTAAAAAAAAAAAAAAACAGAAGCATTTCCTTCATTCTTAGGGTTTTTCCACTCGGTGTGTGTGTGATGGGGGGGGAGGACTAAAAATATGAACAGTTTCCACAAGATGTAATTACTTGTGCTTTTCAGTAAAAATATAAAATGTTTCATCCCCAGGTTTTTCCAGTCTGGTCTCCAAGAGCCCATTGGAGTTGGGCTAATAAATTAAAATAGGAGAAGGAGAAGACCAACGTGGTAAAAAAGGGGAATTGCTGATGACTGAATCTTCATAAAACAGCCAAGAAAAAATGCAGCTGTCACAGGGATGAACATTAATCCATTGGAAAAAAAAAAGCTTTACCTGTTTCATTTCTACCTGTCAAGCTGCCTTTAAAAGCACAGGCACGAGCTTCTTTGAAATCCACTGCCTGTTGAGAGAAGCACTTTTTCACTGAAGAAATTAAATGTGCAGAAAATTACGGGTTTCAGGTTTATGCAGTTGCCTGTATGAAATTCTGGGTGACAGTAAGCACGTCCTATTTTGCGATGATCAAGTTAGTTTTGGCCCCAGAAAAATGATTAAATCCCCACAATGAAAAAAAAAAAAAGCATATCTAACCCTGAAATACTTTTGGAAAGGAAGAATGGAGTTCTATGGTTCTCATTAGGTGGACATAACTGTGCCATGATGAGATCAAGGGTCCTATTGACTGCTAATTGTATGATCCAGTGTTTTTAACAGGCAGCTTGGAAACCCTTACCCGTCCTAGAGTGGTAGATGTAAGTGTGCTACACTCAGCCCCGAACAAGGAAACTGACATTTGCCCGTTTGAGGGTCAGCGACGTCCAGCCTCTCGGAGCTTCTCCGGCCGCTCCGATGGAGAATGGAGTTCAGCACTAACACAAAGACCACATCAAGGAAAGGGAGGCAGAGAGGGATGAATCAGAGTGATATCTGGGCCCTCCATCACAATGCAGGGACTGCTGTGAAAGTCCCCTGGATGGAAATAAAATGAAAGCATCACAGTCTAATTCCTGGGTGGGAGGGAAGCAGATGGTCCTGTTCACTGGAAAAAAGAAATGCGCAGGGCAGATCAGAAGAGGGCTGACTAATTTCTCACGTTATCAGTTTATCTGGCTTCGAAACTCTACTTCCGCAGGCTTTACAGAGAGAGCAGAATCTTAAAAAAAGGTCAGCATTGCCTGTTTAGAGCCCCAGTTGATACTACAGTAAATCTCCAATTGACCAGACCTCGTTTAGTGGACTTTGGATGTGGTGGACAAGGCCGGTTCATGTTGTAACCCTACACAAAACCCCATCTTCATAAAATGGACACTAGGCTTTAATGGAGACCTTCTTCTCCATTTGTCTGATCAATCAAAGCCTCGCTCTTCCCTAGTTTGTGGTCAGCAGAATCCAGTGTCGGGGGCCTCTGCAGGGATGGGGGTCAACAGAGTCAAGATAGCCGCATCTGTGCAATCAAAGCCCTTTTTTTACAGCATTCACGTCGTGACTGGTCCTGCCACCGAATGTGGGACCAGTGGAAATCAAATTTCCAGCAAATCTTTCAATTCAACAGATAAGCATCATGGCAGCTCCCCCCCCCCCCAATGTGGGAAATCAATACAGGAGTACAATAGGAAACTGATCAGAATCGGTCTGCATGTACATCATCAGGGTAGGAAATTGATAGCATCATTTCCCCAGGAGGGAGCATAAATATGGGGCGATCCACAAGCAAAGCAGAGAATCAAACTTAACAGTCAACCGAGAGTTGAAGTGACTTCTGACTCCGAAGATGCTACTCACCATGCTTAAAGGTAAGCATATTTTAAGCTTTGGGTCCAAAGGATGGCACATTTTCTGGCAAGGTATTCATTTTGGCAATGCAAATGGGAATGGTTGCGCATCTCCCCCACTGCTAATGGGGAAGAGCAGTGATTCATGCGCCCTCTTGATTTCTTGACCCCAGCATGCTCCAATGCACCTGGGCTACATTTTGCCCCTAGCCAAGCTCTGGGCGACAAAAACTCCTTCCAAAATCAATGCAGAATTTGAGAAGAGTTGAAGGAAGGCGCTAGGGGACAACACAGGAAGTTAGAAAACCCTCCTTTTTATCATTAATCCATCAGAATATGAATGTTGATAGGGCTGGGCCCGAAAGCGATCCTTTCTAGGGACTTGGTTTTCGTTTTTTAAGAAAGCACAAGGCTACAGCGAAAATTAGCGTTGACAAAACATCTCTGGAGAGTTTCAGGATAAGCATGGGAAGGGTGCGTGATAAAAAGGATGGGATCCTCCATTTAATCCCTGGTCCTAATCAGCAGCAGCAAGGAATGGACATAGCTCTAGCCGGACTTCATCACTGCATTGTTGGTGATCAAGTCTTGCAGCAGTTGGGAAGCGGGGAAGGGATCCGTTTTCAGAGGAAACTTTTGCAAGAGAGAAAAGTGTGTTTGCTACAGAATCCACAGGACGTTTGGCCTCCCTGGAAGGTGAAGGGTGAAACCCATTTTAAATCATGACCTGTTTCCAAGGTCTCACTGGATTTCTTTGCTTTCCCAACAGAAATGGCTCAGTTGATGTTTGTCCTCTGGTGCACCCAGGGACTTCCCACTCCACCTGGCCCAATGAAATATCCACCGACGCTGGATAGGTTGCGCTGTGATGCAGAATCGCTTTTTGAAAATTATGTAAGTGTGTTGGACTGGTTCCCCCTGCCCCTGGCTGTGTGGACTATTAGAGATGGAGACCCTGAAGCCTACAGAGATTTCCTTCCTGCTTAGCGGGTTGAAGCCAGATGCTCGTCTTCCCATCCCTCTCTTTCTTGTGCAATACCAGAGTTCCTTATTCCGTAACGGTGGCATTCGGATGTTACAAATCTAGCGTTTTCCTTCTCCTCGCTTGTGTTGGGGATGGATGGAAAGCCCAGGGCAGCATCCGGGGAAACAATTCCAGATGGAGCACACAGCTCCTCCTCCTGATAAAAGTCACCCTTATCAGAAGGACAATAAAATGTAGGCTGGCCTTTGCAGGGTGAGGTGGGAAGCCGACTTTAACTGAAGCCAATCTTTGGTTCCGTTTCCATAGGCAAAGGACAAATTTTTCCCTCCTGAAATGAGGCCGACCATTGCAGCGAATGTTTCTGGCCCCGACTGCAATTTCACAAAAGCACCCAGCAAGGCTGAGATATGTGATATTATCCAGGCTTTCCATGAGCTGTTTGACAGGGTGAACAAGACACACCATGACGATCAACTGCTGGAACCCTTGATGGCCAAGAACAAGTTCTCATCCGCCATCGACTATCAGGGAAACTATCTGAAAAGTAACTGTCCTCAGGTAGCACAAATCAAAGCACCAGTCACGTACCAGAACACCAAACATGAGCCCACCAGAGAGAACATATTTTACTATATTTTTGAGCAATATAAATATTGCACACATAACCTTTTGAGACAATTAAAGCCGGACGCCAAAATCAGCGATGCGTGCAAAGATAGGCAGTAATGGAGAACTTTTAGCTGATGGTCCTCCGCCAAGCCGCTTCCCCAACACAAAGCCCATCATTCACACCCGGCATGGTCATTGCTGTGCCAGCTGGAATGGTGGCAGCGGTTGTACCAAACATCTGGAGGCGGTAAGGCTGGGGAAAGTCACAGGGATGAAAGCAAAATATTTAGAATATTCCAAGCTGAGGCTGTTAAGTCAACTGAATTTGGTCTTTTTTTTTTTTTGAGTAACTGGGTTTGGGAGAGGCAGAGAAGTATGTCCTTAGAGTAATTTAATGTTATTTGTAAAGCAGATATTTATTCTATTTAAAATCAAGTTTTAATCACAACTATTCTATCCGTGTATTTTTTTATACAACGAGCGTGTTTAAATATATTTAAATGATTAATACCAGTTGAATGCATTTGGTCTTTATTGCTTTGAAAAGTATGTGCCATTTTTTCTATTTTAGAACCAAAGCTTGGGTGAAAATGTTTTAATTAATAAGAGCTGAACTATTAAGTTTTAAGTCGTACATTTCAGGTTAATATACGTCCTGCTGAATTTAGTGGGTCATACATATATATATATATATATTGATATATAATGTAATGTAATAAAATGTATATATTGAATAAGATCCTCAGCCAATTTAAAACCCATTTTTATAACTACGATTTATGAATATGTTTTATATTTCATATGTAATAATGTATTTGATGAATTTATTATTAATTTGCAACTGGGTGTTTCCTGCAGAAAGAGTTTTGTTAACCTATTATATTTAAATATATTTAAAATATCTGGATTATCAACAGAACGAATGTATTTAAAAGATGTTCTTGAGTGAGAATATTTTAATTAAGGAATGCTATTAAGGTGCTACTGAAGATTAAGTTTACTATTTTAAATTAACATGCTTCAATTCTAACTCAGCCATGTTTTAAATGGAAAAACAGTATTTATATGTAATAAATTAATAAACAAACGAACCCAAAAATGGAATGGTTTCTTCTCATGATTTCGAAACTGTGTTTCAGTTACTTTATTTCTGTCTTCTAGGGCATTCGTTATTCCCACCTCTTAACATGCCAGTTCACTTTAAATTTGATTCTGGCTTTAAATTCCATCTTCTTGAAAATCATTCTTGAACCGTGGAGGTCATTAATTCCTCCATGGAGTTTGATAAGAAGAAAATACTGAAGACAATTGACCTTTTGCAATCCACAAACCGAGTTTTCCCCACAGGCACCATCTGAGCTCTGCACGCCGCCCTTGCTGGCAAAACCATGCCAACAGGTCAACTTCTAGATTGCACCTCCTTGTCCTTCAGCTTCTAAAAAAACGAGGTCAGAGTTTATACACCCTCCCAAGTCTCTTTACAAGGGGTGAGGTCTCAAGAGAGGGAAAGGGAGCTTCAAGGCTTCCAGGTGGTGTCTATTTTCATGCCCAATACAAAAATCAAACCACAGGGCTCTACAGCAGACAACATGGGTGCCGTGTGGCCAAACCCAATGGATTTTATGTGCATCCTACAAGGCTGAGATGTTGGATAGTGAGTGGTGCAAAGATCACATCTTGCACGATGCTAAATCGTCTTCTGACACTTGCCAACCTCTGAAACTCTGATCTGAACAGAATGTGTTTGTCTACCGCATGGATGCAAGGAAGTTCAAACTCTGTGCGTGCGTGTGTGTGTGTGCACGCCTCCAAATCCTTCTTTTGCAAGCCTGGTGGAAGGCAAAAAATGTGGGACTTTTTTAAATGTTGGGAAGAAGTTTGGGGAAAATGGTTAAGGTGAAAAAGCTAAGGCACCCACTTTGTCTCTGACCACTCCCACCCCTTGGCGCTTGAATGGATGTGCTCCAGGAGCTTCTGTGGCATGGTCCAAAAGCCACACACTCCTGACCCTGACGATCCAGGGTCCCAAGGCAGCCACCCTGACCGAAAGAGAAGGCACAAACTTGGGAGGCACACTCTTTCTCCTCAAAAATAGCATTTATTTCTGTCGTCTTGTAAAAAAAAAAAAAAAGACAATGCAATGGCACTATTGAAAGATTGAAACTCAAGCAATTGCCACAGAAGTTTCATGCATCAGAAATCTAGAAAAGAAGGCTGCCTGTCAACTCTTCAGCCTTCCAAAAGGTCTATTTATAAAACAAGAAGAAAAAGAAGATATTCATTATACAAACTTCATCTTTTCTGGTTGCAAACAGAGTACAAGTTGTCCAAACATGATTTCAGACACAGAACAGGTAAAATATCTCCACAGAGATTAGCGATCCTGATTTCATGGCTAAAAGAAAATGCACCTTCCTTGGCCGACGACACTGGAACAGCGTCAGCAGTAGCTTTACGAAGCCGCCCCAACACTTGCGTGCTGATCACTCCTCTTCTGCTCTGTCCAGCTGACAAAAGCAACTGTGGAGCGCGAAGCAGAAGAACAAAGAGATGCAGCCGACACGAAGAGCCGACCCGAATGCATGGTGCTCCTGGGTGCTCAGCTGTTAAGGTGCTGGCCCCAAAAGGCAACCTCCAGATCCAGCCTTCTGGGTCTAGAGCCGTGTTTCTCAAACTTGGCAACTTTAAGATGGGTGGATTGCAACTCCCAGAGTTCCCCATGCTGACACAGCTCCAGAGTTTAAAAGCTGCCCCAGGTGAACCTGTTACAGGGAAGGAGGTTGTTCTTTTCTGGTGCCTGGAGATTTTGGGGGGGGGGAGTGTTAACTGAGGGCTATTTTAGAGCTTAAATCCCAATCTTGTGGGTCTTTCCTCTTTGAACGCAGATGCCACTTTTCAACAAAAGTGGTCTGAAGGGCTATAGAGCCTGTTATTTATCACACTTCCAGAGAAACAGCTTATCTTACCCATGAGATAATCTCTAGGTCCATATAGTTTAGAAGTTTGGGTCAACTGCATCCCCCCGTGGGTACCAATGTCTGCTTACAGACCCCACTCCACTCTGTGGATGGAAAGCAACTGCTGTTCGTGCTCAAGGCCACCCACTTCGGGTTTGAAGGGGATCACACAAATTCAAAGAAGCGAGACAGCGGACATGGAGACAGGGCCCTTCTACCGCACACGTCCTGCTTGTGTGCTTCCGAGCGACACTGGGTTGGCTACTGCAGGAATAAAACATTGGATGAGAGACCTTTGGTAGGATTCAACCTGGTTTTCTTATATTCTTAAGCTGGCTATCCTTTTTTTTTTCTCCCACACTTTCAAATTATTCTTCCCAAAGAAGGGAAAACGCTTGCATTGCTACGTGCACACGAACAGCTCTGGAAACAGGCTCCGCTAGACAGCCTGCAGAGGGCAACCTGAGACAAGTGGACTTTCCTAAGACAGATGGAACCACCGAGAACCTCAGTAATACCCGAAAGGCAGCTGGGAGGTTGAGAGAAAGAGCCAAGAGGTGACCGGGTCTCTTTGCTGCCAAGGTCATAAAAAAATAATGAGGCACAATTATTTTCTATTTTGGAGGAAAAATCTCTCTCCCCTTCTACTAACTGGCTGGAATTCAAAGAGCTTCTTCTGCACACCTCCAGTCAGCCGCATGTGGTGGATTGGGGGGGGGGGGGCCTTTTACAAAGGCTGTTTCCTAAATTGTTAGAGACATCCCCGTCCCCCCATTCCCGAGGTGGCTTGCTCTGCCCAACATCTGGCAGCCTCTGGTCAAGGCTGCCCATACGGTGAGGGCACAGTTCTTCAGATCCCAGCTTCCACCTTTGATTGAGTAGCCAGATCTCTTGGCCTCTTCCCATCCCTTCTCTCTAAGCCTTGTGACTGAGGTGGGGTTGGACAAAAAAACGTATCTCTACTGCATATATTTAGATAGGTTGCATTGAAGGAGGCGTCTATTGCTGGAAGCAGTTTACCTGAGTTGGATTTTCCCATTTGACCAAACCCAAAGGCCGCGTTGAAGAACAGTTATTTGGCAGCTTCAACCCTCCATCCTCCCCAACGTAACACTCAGTTTGATGCCTCTTGTCCTCGATGGGGAGTCAACACAAGGAAGCTTCTAAGCCAACCTTCTACAGCTTGGTGCTCCTCCACACATGTGGGGAAAGTGAATCCTTGAATTCTCAGCCAGCATGCTGGCTGGGAAATTCAAGGAACGGTTGTTCCTACACATCTGGAGGAAGACCCAAACTGGGGAAGGTGACAAAGTCTTGGTGAGGCCTGGATGTCCACCGTGGCTTGAGCTTGTCTTCTGTTATGCTTCCTCGGCTGTTTTGCTGAGCTTCCCCAACGCCTGGGTGGCTTGTTCTTGCAAGAGTGAAGGGTCAGAGAGAATGGAGGTGGTGGTGCTCAAGTGTCGGAGGCTATTCAGAACCACTAGGAGAAAGAGGGGGAAGGATGCAAAACAGAACAACCAACACAGCTAGTTAGAGTGCTTTTCCAAAGAATCGTGCAAGTTCAGCTCTGACTGCAGAACAACAGGCAGTGCAAAAAGTCTGTCTAAAACACATCTTCCTCTAACACCTCCAGTACAGAGGACCAGAGAGCCTTGTTCTACAAAGCAGATATCCTAGTTCACGATGGCTCTATTCACCAAGTGCTCCTCAACCATAGAATAGTAAATTGTGGTCAAACACTGAAGCGTGGTTCCCTTCAAGCTATGGTTTATTGAAGTGAGCCAGCATCAGTTTATTCCCTTGTGATAAGCCACGGGTAGTGGGAAGTGTAAACACCCAGCCAGGAGACAAAACAAATTCCATAAATAGTCCCATATACCCAAAGCACTAACATACTCTAGACTTTAAGCTCATTTAATTATGAATCCATCCCCTTTCCTATTCAGCACTGGCAATTCCTATCATAAATCACACTAATGTGAGAGAGAGAAAGATCGATTTGAAAAATATGTACGAGATTACGCAGTCAATCACCCTTCTCCAACGTGCTCCTCTCAACATGTTGGTTGTCAACTGGCAGAACTCACTGGCCTGCATTACGAAAGATGATAACCAATGTATTGGTAGGAAAGGAGTTGGGAGGGGATGTCCAAGTTAAATACTTGGCCTAGACCTCTTCTGAAGTTTCGACTGTTATGATGGCATTCTGAATAGGGATTGGCAAAAGCCCCTCAACTTACTGGGCCTCAGGACAGGTAGTGAGCAACGCTCGTCCAGCCATGCCAAGGCTGTCCGGTTCAGCTCCTGCAGGCTGGTTGTAGACACCATCTCGTTGAACGTTTCAAACAGAGGCTTGATGATGACGGTGAACTGCAGAAGAGTGGGGTTAAGGTGCTAACTAAACACAGCCTGAGATTTCTAGAAATAGGGACCCTCGGTGGGGGAGGCCTGAAATGCATGGTGCCTCTGGGGAAATGTAGGAGGTTAAATCAAGGCAAAGGTCTGATCAGCTTTATTGATCCATAAAGCTCTTGAATCTTCTCAACTTTCTCCAGAACCGTGAAAACTCGGAGAATGGTCTCTATCAAGATCACAACCAGGAGGCTGAACAGAATCTACTACTTCTTGCAGCTCCATCCATCTATCTACCATGAAGGGCTCCTGAATCCCATTCTAAAAAGGTCTTTGGGCCATTCAGAATCAAACCTGTAAAATTCATGGCTACAAAATGCAGCAAGAATCCAGCTAGCTTTAACAACGGATTAAAAACTGCATTCAGAAAGTTAGATTGACAAGGAAGATGCCACAGCAGCCAAACAGAGATTCCAGGTTCAGAAGCAGTGTACCTCCAAGTACTAGCCCCCTCCCCTCCCCTTCCCACACCCCAACACCCCCTCTCCTGTGGCATCTTGATGGGCCCTAACTGAAGTCTTGCCCAATGGGGGCTACTTTCCATTCTTGTCCTACACGTTTCTATTTAATTTATTTAGTATGGTCTGGGATTAGCAAGGTTTTTTTTTTAAGCATTTAATTTTTATTGAAAAATGTTCACAGAAATAAAAAATAAACATGATGATATAGAGTGAGAGTAAAGAAAAGAAAAAGAAAAATGTGAAGAAAATAAAGAGAGTACAAGAAGAGACACCAATGGAAAAAAGAAAAGATATACAAAGACGCAACTTCTGATCTTTATCGCAGTTACAAGCAATCTTATCCTCATTCCTCCCCTGTTAAAATTACATCCTAATTCTCTTTTCCCTGTATTCAACTGTCTGGTCTTCCCTGGTTTCATACACACCAGAGGAGGATACAATCCAGAATTTCAAGTTTTGTTGGCTCCGGTTTCTGATGTAGTCTTCAAACATGTTCCGCATCTGGTCAAACCGCTGCCTCGTGATGGGCACCCCTGTGGCGGGCAACTGCTGCTGGCAAGAACTGAAGAAGAACGACAGAAAAGGCAGGAAAACCCTCAGACCGGAGGGAAAAATAAAAAGCCAAAGTCACAGCTGAGGAGCAGATAAAAACAGGCTGAATTTGTTTGCGTGCCTCCCTTCCAGCCTATCCTTATTTGCAAGCCCCAAGGAGAGGTGCTGCCGGGTCTCAGACAGCACCTGCTGGAGCCAAGCAGGTCCTATTTGTGTTTCTGGTAAAGCCCCCAACACCACAGTGGCAACCGCCAGACGTATTCTGGGGAAAGAGGCTACGAATGATCGTGGCACAGAGCAGCTGAGATGCTACGATCATGTTGCATTCTTACAAGTCTGCTCAGACAGAATACACGCACACGCCCACCCCCTGGCACAGGGAAAATAATCTCCAGGGTCTCTTCAAATCTGAGCTGGGAGTTGCGCAATGAAATTAATCTGCAGCAGCTTCAGGACACACACAAAACAAAGAGGGAGGAAACTCACGAGCGTTAAGACGTGGCAACGTCTTTGAATGTTTACTTTTAATTATTGGTTTTAAGGGGCTGCTGTGGGGCCCAGGATTAGACACATCCCGAGTAGAGAACGGTAAGAGATGCTCCCTTATTAGGGAGCACCAAGATTAGATTGACCCCGACCCCACTGGTCTTTTGTAAAGCATGAAGACCTGGAGCAGCTCCGGGAGGTTAGGTGGCCCACTGGGCGGCCTCTGTAGTTTGCTTTATCTGGGTTATATTGCCTTTAGCCATTTCCATGAGCTGTCAGCTGCCCAGAGTCGCTTTCGTGAGATGGGTGGCCATGTAAATCAGTCAAATGAAATAAACAAAGGGGAGAGAAAACATCTGTGCATACGCTACTGTGAATCTGAGCCCTCACATGATGGCCGTGTTCAGCTCTACGGTCTGTTCCCGGAGGCGCTTGGCTTCCTCCTGCATTTGAGAGCGCTCCTGCTGCAGCTTGGCAATGTATTCCACCGTCTTCTGGAGGGTGAGAGCGTGGCTGATCTGCAGGAAGCACCAAGAACAGGGTCCAAACTCAGCTCAGCTGAACTGAGACCCAGCACTGTGGTCGAGAACACCAGGCTAAACCTGGAGGAAGACAGGGAGCTGTGCGATGCCACTCTAGAGCTAAAATGTGGCATTCGGAGAATGACGAAGGGAAGGGAAGGGAAGTCTTGGTCTCACAGCTGCATCCTGGATGGGTGGGTAAAACCTCCTGAAATCTCAAAAGCCAGACAGGAAGGACTGAATAAGGACCTGGGGAGCCACAGGTGAACACAGACTTCTGTGGCTTGCACAACATGTGCCCCTCCCCTAGACAAGCCGAACTAAACAAACCCAGTAGAGCAAATCCGCATAAAAGCTGCCCCAAATGAAACCCACTTTGTTTTTCCTGCAGGAGGTGGAAGAGGAAGACTCCTCCGGGGGATCCCCCCAAAACGACTTACTGATTTAGAGTTTGGCGACACCAAGCTGTTGAGGGTGCCAAAGCCGATCTTGATATTACACCTCCGCTTCTGTTCCGCTGAAATATGCTTCATCCTGCGACTCTGTGCCGATTAAACGAAAACATTTTCCCCCCAATACTTTAACTGTTGCTCTTTCATAATCCTCACTGACACTGAAGAAGAGGAGAATTTAGCTCCGATCTCAGCTCTCTGTCTGAACGAAGTCGCGAGTCAGCACCGACTTCTTGGCACACCAAGGAACTTGGGTGGCCCCCATTTCTTATTGCTGACGGGCATAACTCACTCCCCGCATTTTAGCCTGAGGTGGGAGGGGGGAGAGCCCAGTCTGGTCCTCAGGATGTCCATCCCTGGCTCACTCTAACTAAACTTGAGATGATACACCTGAAAAGCCTCCTTCGCGCCCCTCGAGTCTCTTGCAAGACCGTAAGCCGGACCCCAGCCCTCTCCTCCTCCCATGTAAGACCCGCAGATTTATTACGTGAAGCTCATGGGTTCTCCCGGGCCCCCCTCCGTCCCCAGCCTTGATGAGATGCCAAGGGTTAAGTGCTCCCCCAGCCCCAGATTCCAAATCTGAAACGCAAACCTTAAAAATGGATCCCTGTGGATCAGGGGTGGCTTTCCTGCAGCGGCCGCTCTGCGGGGACTGAGGGCTGAGGCTCTGCTCGGAGGGGCGGGGGGAGGCCTGCCTTGATGGCGGACAGTCGCGGACTTGGAAAAGGAAGAAACAAGGAAACACATACAGCTGGTCAGCTAAATATGGGTAAGCCTCAGCGGCACAAGAGATTTGGGTTAGTCGCTACGTATCTAACTTGCCTTTCCCTGAGAGCGAAAGGCAGCGTGGAGGGAATGGTCTCTCTCGACTGCCAGTGAGCGCCGGGGTCCACTGAGAATACAGGAACGGGGTCTCCCCAGCCCAATGCTTTCAACCACGCTGGCTCTCTCTGACGCCTCCTGAAAGCGCTCTAGGAACTCATGTGATTTGTTTCCCCCTCTGGGTCTTCTCGCAGGCTGCCCGGCTCTTTCTCTCTCTCTCTCTCACAGAGAAAGCAAAAAAAGGCCGCTCGCTCTCTGTTGTGGACTTTCTCCGGAGAGGCAGAGCAACGGGTGTTTTCCAGCGGCACGGGGGACGGTGTCCCGAAGCTCTCCTACCTCACGGGGGCAGGACAGGCCTGCTGAGCGTTGGCCAACCACCTGCTTTTTCAGTGGCCAGCTTTCCCTAACCTGGCCCCCTCAAGGTGTGTTGGGACTTCTCACCCAGCAAGGCCAATGACTATGTTTTATGCACTGCTTGGGTTGGGATCTTCTGCTCACTGGGTAAGTGGAAAGTTTCCTCTTCCCTCCTATACTGCTGTCCTTTTGTGCTGTATCTTCTAGGCCTGCCCCTTCGTTTCCAGTCTTTACCGAGGACTTAGCAAACGTTCAGACTTGAATGAGTACAGCCCCACGTGCCAAGTGTTCCTCCCTAGACGTCTGATGCCAACCCTGCCATACAGCCCCTGAAATCCAGATGACAGAAGGTTCTAAAAAAACACCCAGAAAAATCATGCATGCTGTCTTCTTCCACTTGCAAGATCCCTTTTTCAGTTGTTCCAGGGGATCTGATCCCTTCTGCATTTTGCAGATCAGGGTGCACAGTAATCCCACATGAACCTCAGCAGTTCGATAGGCCAAAGGGCGGGATAACCTTTGAAGGCCACCCTCTGTGGATGCACCCACAGGGCAAGGAACGCACGTGTCCCATGGGGCAGGAATAAGCTGGGGTGGAAGCCAACAGGCCAGTGCAGCTGTTTCGGTCCTTCTTTCTTTGCAAGCGGCCTGGTTTGATTCCTACTTCACAGCCTCGGGGGGGGGGCTATTCTAGAAGATGCGTTCCTCGCACTTACTGGGGGCAGGCGAGGGGACCTGGGCAGAGGTCATGTGGGGTGGGACCTGCTCACCCTTCACCAACACTTCCCGGACTGAGCTGGGAGTAAAAAGATGTGGAAGGGTGGCCGGGACGGGCTGGGGGGTTTGAGGCGGCAGGCCTGGGCTGAGCAGAATACTGCCGGGCAGTTCTGTTGCGCGGGGTGCCTAGGAACAAAAGGCAGAGAGGAAGACGCAAGGCAGAGCAGAACGCTTGGAGGCTGGCTCGTCCCCGGCCCGGCCCGGCCCTGCCCTGCCCGCCGAACCCCAAGATGGAAGGCTCGTGTCTTACATGGGGCAGTCCGGACAAGGCAATCACAACAGTGGGCGACGGCAGGCTGTTCCACAGACTGACGGAAGGGACTCTCGGCTGCCTTGTCTCCACAAAGAATGGTGTGATGAAGCCCCCGCTTTACCCGCAGAAGGGTGAGGGTCGACGCCCAGCCTTCACCGAGAAAGTCAGGCCTGAGAGAGGCCAACACGTGGCCAGCTGAAGCCCGAGGGCTGGACTAAGGAGACCTATTTACTGTCAGTGCAGAAGGCAGCTTCTCCTGATCAAGGCATGGCAGCCGAAATCTTGGGAAAGCAAGAGGCGTCTGGCTCTCTGTTAAGGGAAGCGGGACTGCTGGGAGCCAGCCTGATCAGTTCAGGCAGGGCTGGCGGGGAGGGAAACGTTCATCAGCTTAAACATCCACCATCACTCCTTCAGTATGGCGAAGCTTTTTAAATCCACCCGAGCAGCGTCCCTGGATGCTTGAACATCTGAGAAACACTTCCAGGGTGAGAACGCTGGGCTAGACCTGCCCAGACCTGCCACGCACAGACCCTGAATCCTCCTGCAGTCCCTAGAAAGGCTCACCCATGCAGCATCCAGCAACCCAGGGCCCCGCTCACCTGGGGAGAGGAAGGCACTGTTCAGCATCAAGGGCACGGCCTCCACTGGAGCAGGTGCAATCTGCTGGGGCTTCCTGGCCCTCGGCCCAGGGCCAGCCATGGGAAGGACGAAGGACGAGTGTGGCTGCAGCAGAGGTGGCTGAGGCACTCCTGCCGTCTGGAGTGTCGCTACCGTGCAAGGCACTCCCACCCCAGGCTGCTGGGTGGCCAAGAGTCCAGCCTGGCCATGGCTGAAGGTGGTGGCGGGGACGTTCTGCGTGGGAGTGGCTGAGGCGGTGTGGGTGATGACTGAGGGCTTGCTGAGGCCGAACTTGGGCGCCTCGGGAGGAGCAAAGATGGGCACCTGCAGGGCCAGGTCCGTACTCAGGGGAAGCATGGCCTGCTGCGGCTGAGGCGGCAGAGGAGGGACCTCGGGCTGAAGAGGGAGCCCCAGCGCTGGGAACCGAGGCAGGAAGTGTGGCTGACTGGCCAGGGGCAGCTCGGGGGGGAAGCCGGAAGGCTGGAGGCACGGGTCCTCGCTCCGCAGGCCGAGGCACTGGTCGTTCCCCACCACCATGGGGGGCAGGATGGGCTCAGGCACTGGAGGGGCAACCAGCTCTTCTCCGAGGTTCATAGCAGGAAGTGGGCTGCGCAAAGAGGTGGAAGAGAGGCTCGGAGTCTGAAAGGAGAAGGGAAGCTTATTAAACACGGGCTGACACCAGCATGGAACACCAGCACCTCCTGATGTCCGAGGATCAGGAGAAAGAAGCAGGACTGCATCCAACTGCCAGGAAGCCTGCGCCACCACGTGAGTTAATAGGGTCCTTGCAGAACACGAATGCACCCTGAGAGCTACCCACCCCACGCTAGACTGACTGAGGCAACCTTCCTCAAAGGGCTGCTAGAAGGATTGGGAGACCCGCCCAGCAGCTCAGGGAAATCTGGCCCGGAGGGGAAGCTGCCAGGGCCCCCCAAGAACCCTAGCAACTGCGGGGTTGGGTCTCGGAGAACAGCATTCTCAGTGGCTGCCCCTCACTTTGGAACTCCTTGTCCCTGAGGTTAGCTCAGGCCCACTCCTTTATCTTTAGGAAACAGGTAAAAATTGTCCTTGTCCTGGAGCATCCAGTGAGGAAGCCTTCATGGAGGAAGCCTGCATAGAACTGAGACCGCAATGGATCTTGTTTTAAAGGTGGAGTGATTGTATGCAATGTTGAAAGCTGTCTGGAGTCATACAAGTAGGTGCCGCTTGAGTAGTTGCAATCAATCAATCAATCAATCAATCAATGAAGGAATAATATTAAAGCTAGGCTTCAAATTCACACAACTGTGGGAAAGACATTTGCGGTGATTGTTTGCTCAGTCCTGGATCCAGGATGTTCTCACCTGGGAACAATGTGCGTTGGCCCCTGGCAGGGCAGCACTGGGAGTCAGGCTGGAGGTAGCGGTGGCAGGAGATATGAAAATATCTGGCAAAGACAGAAGGAAAGAAAGCAGAGCCTTGTTACATTTCCTCTGGACCTCTGGGTTTGCTCTGCTCTTAAAAAAATAAAATAAAATAAAATAAAATAAAATAAAATAAAATAAAATAAAATAAAA